TTCCGGATTTTCGCGGGAAAATATAACTTGACTTTGGAAAATCGAAACAAATCAATTTTGGGGAATTATCTTCAGATTTCCTTTTTACTCTTATGAGAGAGATGGTTTGCGAGCTAATTCTCTCTTTTTAAAATTTTCAGTTACTTCACATAAGCCCTTTAAAGGAATAGGGACTAGCACGCGTGTCTCCATACACCACCAAGTCGGGGACTACAAAACCCCTGACATCATGGAAGCAGCGAGGAACTTCTGTACCCTGACACTCTCTCTTTCCTTCCTTCTTATTCATCTAGCTATCTCTTTACGTACCTATCTAGGTACCTATCCCCCTCCCCTGTATCTCTCTTTCTCTATCTATCTATCTATCCCTCTTTCTTTCTTATTAACAGACAAGTAGACAATCTCTCGAATGTACTAAAGTAAATAGTAGAGATGCATTGCTCCTTATAAGATAAATCAGGACTTGGAAAGAGCTATACAAGACCAAAATAAAATTCACAAATCTATAAAAATGAATAGAACGGACATCTCCCTCCAGGCTGAATATATATACAATAAAAAAAAAATGTTAAAACATTTACCCAATCCGCAAAAACAACTAATTTCCAAAATAGGTTCAATGACTGCAAATACGACCCCAAAGAAACATGGGAAACAGTTAAAACATTAACACCAAAGAAGAAAATAGAAAAAAAAATCATCACAAAGACACTTTCTTATAATTCCTTAGTACAGAACGTCTAAACGATTATGCTGCCTATAGCACTAGACACATGAACAGAGAGCGGCTTCCTTGGCCCCACAAAGCACAATTAGGACAAGACTCTCATCAACTGCTTTCAAACCACAACCAATAGGAGTGGACACAAAGCACAATTAGGACAAGACTCTCATCAACTGCTTTCAAACCACAACCAATAGAGTGGACACAAAGCACAATTAGGACAAGACTCTCATCAACTGCTTTCAAACCACAACCAATAGGAGTGGACACAAGCACAATTAGGACAAGACTCTCATCAACTGCTTTCAAACCACAACCAATAGGAGTGGACACAAAGCACAATTAGGACAAGACTCTCATCAACTGCTTTCAAACCACAACCAATAGGAGTGGACACAAAGCACAATTAGGACAAGACTCTCATCAACTGCTTTCAAACCACAACCAATTGGAGTGGACACAAAGCACAATTAGGACAAGACTCTCATCAACTGCTTTCAAACCACAACCAATAGGAGTGGAAACAACAGTATTAACAATAAAACACTTGCGCGAAACGAATGCTGCGGGAGAGGATAGCATCGCTTTTCGGTTCATCAAAGAAAGCTTGCCCGCAATTGCATTATCTTTAACTTTCTTTATGAATACATCTAGAGTCAGCGGTACCTGCCCATCAATTTGGAAACATGGCATCATAACACCTACTTTCAAATCAGGAGATGCAGAACAAAATGATAATTATCGTCTTATACATCTACGCCAAGTGACATCTAAAGTGCTAGACAAAAAATGTTGCAAATCAAATTTCAACATTCCTAGAATCCAGTCACCTCATTTCTGAAACGCAACATGGGTCTGGAAGTCAGTTATCACAAAAAAAATAATGAAAACATTGACAGAAATCACTTAAATCTACTCGCATTGTGTGATCTATCGAAAGCATTTGACAGGGTCAACTATGAAATCATGAAACTGACAACTGTTGGTTTAGAAGTCATCTATCCACAAAAACACAGTCCGTCAATATTCGTAATAATATGTCATCTAAGAAACCGGTCTCTTTCGGTGTCCCACAAGGCTCCATTTTAGGACCGATCCTATTCACTATATTCGCTAACGACCTCTCAACCGTTGAAAACAAGTGTCTCCTTGTTCAATATGTCGATGACTCTCAGTTTCTTCACGCTGGCTCTGAAAGCAATTTAAATGAATTGATAAAAAAAAAACAGACTCTCACAGATACAAAAATGTATTTTGATAACAATGCTTCAAACTAAATCCCGATAAAAGTTCAATGCATCTTTATGGGAATTCGACAAAACATGACCCCAAATACCCACAAAAATAATAATAGAATTTGGAAGTTATCATATTAAACCAAGCATATTCGTTAAAAATCTAGTAGTACACACAGACAGATAAATGACTTTTAAGACACACATGGGCAACATTTGCAAAAAAAAAAAAAAAAAAAAAGCAATAGACACAATGATATACCTAAATCACCAAAAAAAAACTAAATCTCCACTGATATGAACATTACTATTGCTCAAACCGTTGCATTATAAACTACTGATCTAACAAAACCCACAAAAGACAAAGAAACTACGAAACTTGGCCGCCACTGTAGCAATAGGCAATATAAATAAACATGACCATTTAACCCCCATATTAACAAATTAGATTAGTTGGAAATACGAAAAGGTGTCAATATGATTGTCGAGGATTTCCTTTCGTATTTCCTCTTAAAAGGCTCAGTGAGACCCTCGATGAGTAGGCATTTTCTCGAGGTTAATTATATACTCAGAAAACATATCACCATTATATTTACAATGCATAGAGTATACACAAAAGCATGAAAAGTCGTGTATCCCCGTAAGAGCTACTGCAGGCGGGGACTATCGCAACTGCCCCGTCTGCCGCAGCGCCGTCGCCTGCCCCGGTCAGTTCTTGAATATCATTGCTCGCGGACCAAGGCAGATATCATTTCGTCAAGTAATGATATTCAAGAACCGGCCTGGGTCGACGCGGCGCAGAAGCCTGCACTGTCTGCCGCGGCGGACGGGGAAGGCGACGGCGCCGAGGCAAAATGAATTCGTTTTTAAGAGTTAAAAGGGTTTCAGGTCGTGACGAGGGTCGTGCTGTATTACGCGCCTGCTGCCAGTACCTCCTCCAGGACCTCAGGTCATCGGCGGGAACCAGGGCCAACCACGGTTGCTACACCCCCCCCCCCCCCATCCCCCAGGATCCAAAACATGTACTGTTTGGGTCGGCGTGCGGTTGTCCAAGAGGGTGTCTTGTATATATATATATATATATATAACTACACGGCTAGTCAAGCATCAAGACCGCTACGAGGGCGTAGGACTCTTCGGGGAAGCTTCCGCGTAGCTGGGCGGTACAAGCGGCAGACGTGTGGTACAGTCGAGAGCCGACCTCAACCACTCGGCGCCCGAGGATGTCACTCCCGGCGGAATCGGCTTCAGTCTCGGCGAGATGCGCAGCCATACGCTACTGTGTTTTCTTTCGTCAGTGCTTCAAGGTCAAACATTAGCCCATGCAGTCATCGGAATATGACGCCGCCAATGCCTACATTTGTTCAGTCATTTGGTCATTTATGTTCTTTACCTCTCATTTTTTTCCTACAGTATATTTCTCTTGTTCTCTTGTAATAAAGAGGACTTTGGATCTCTTTATTACATCAGTTACCATTTGTTTATTCTTGAATGTCACTTTTAAAGGCCGTTTCTTTTCTTTTTTTACGAATAATCCCAGCCTCCTGAGAGCTGTGATATTCTGCTCACTTTCCCGGGACTTTTGACCTAGAAAATATTGACAATCGATTTCTTGTCTTCTTTGTATCGTTCGGTTCCATCTTCTACGGCTTTCTCTTCGTGTTCCAATTCAGAACATCAGCCAAATTAGTAATATTCCTTGCGGGTTGCCTAGGGTGTTTTTTGTTTATTTATTTATCTTTTTTATTGTTATCTTTTTCTATTTTTTATTTATTATTTTTTTACTTTTTTGTATGGTCTCCGCAAGCTATCTTTATTTCTTCCTTTGTGATCTTGATGCCTTTCTTTATTTCCCCCCACTTCGTTTACCGTTTCTTTTGCCTTTGATATATAGGCACATGTTGTCATCTTTTTTGTCGCTTTAAATTGTTTTCGATCTGCTTAACGGTTCTTGTACTTTGATTACTTTTTCTTGCTTATTCTTTGCTTCGATCTGACTGCCAATCTTGCTTTCTAATTTTTTTTTTTCTTCAGCTCCTTGACTTTTCGGTATCCTGTGCATGTGTATGTTTGTGTGTGTGTGTGTTCGATTATGCGTGTGTGCGTGTTCGTGTATGTGAGTATGCGTCTGCGTATGTATGTGTGTGTGTGTGTGTCTGTGTTCGACTATGCGTAGGCGCGGGGGGGGGGGTCCTGGGGATCCGTACCCCTGCCCTTTTTCTCAAAGGGGTGAAAGTGCCCCTTTTCTAGGGCACTTTCTTTCTATTGATCTTGGAATGGCGATGAGACTGTTTATTGTATTTCTGTTTGGTTCAGTGCAAATGATTATTATCATTAAAATTCTTGTAATGTTTTTCCCGTTTTTAAATCTGAAGAACATAATTCAGGCTATATCCCCTCTAAATAAAAATCATATTGTGCCCTTTTTGTGGCCTGGACCCCTGCCCTCTAAAATTCCTAGTTGCGCGCCTGGTGTGTGTGTGCGTCTGTGTGTGTGTGTGTGTGTGTTCGCCTATGCGTGTGTGCGTGTGCGTGTATGCGAGTATGCGTCTGTGTGTGTGTGTGTGTGTGTGTGTGTGTGTGTGTGTGTGTGTGTGTGTGTGTGTGTGTGTGTGTGTGTGTGTGTGTGTGTGTGTGTGTTGGGGGGGGGCGTTTCTGGCGCCGGAAAGGTTGTTTTGGAATCCCAGCCAGACACGATTTTCAGGAAGACTTTTTTTGAAAGACAAGATCGCCATTAAGAGATCACACAAATATTTTTTCATGTTCCAAATGCACGTAACTTTTAGTTTGTATCATGCACCACCCCAAATATAGATATAAAAACCCAAATGCAAAATACAAACAAATCGAAATGTAAAATGTATAGCCATCAACATGTTCAAATACAAATCTACAAGAATAAATACAGCCATCAAAATAACAAACCTCGCCCACAATACCCCGAAAGCACCAATAAAAACAGAAATAAATATATTGCCAAATAAACCCTACTCCTGAAAACCGCGGGGGCCTTGAGTCTGCCGCGGGTGGTGCCGGGGGGG